ATGAAATAACTCGTCGAACGTTCGTTAAATTCTCTGCATCTCGTATTAGCATTAATTCAAAATACTACGGACAGCAATTTTCCACTCAATGGCTACGAAATTAAATATTAAAAGAGAAAATATGGACTGCTAAATTGAAAACTACCAACAGGATTCGAACCTATAATAACCAATATAAATATTTGAGTCACTTTACCAAATCAGCTACTTTGCATCTGAGTCATGTCCATGCATTAAGCAACCTAGATCTTCTATTCAAATTATATTTTAATTAATAATTCAACATTGCTTTAAAGGTAAAAACTAAAAACTAAACCTAATTGAATAAAAATACGATTTTTTTAAATTATTAATACGTATAGAACCCATACAATACCTATTAAAGTTGACAATAAAAAAATATGATTGTAACTACCAACATATGTAACTGAACAAAAAGGATCAGTCATATATATCGAATAATAAAAAAAACCCACAGGACTTAATTATTCACGACACTCAACCCCTGTCTGGTTTTGAGGGAGCAACAAATATACATTCAACTTCCCCTACATTGATTGCAACGGACCCTACCCTTCAACACCACAGTTTAATCAAATTATATACCTGTAGTATGGAGCCGATGTACAACAAAACAGGTAATATGTTCTACAGATATCATCTTATATAGGAAATGGGAATTAATCAATTCTGTTGGACCTTTACTGAGATCGACACGGAGTTATGGAAAGGAATTCCTAGTGACGTCTAGATAAAAAAAAAATATCTTAGATAGAGGAACTTACATAGAAATAAAAAGCGGTCTCTAAACAGGCTTGTCTGAGTATATATAATATAGTAAATAAATTCTACCATGCATAAGTATTCTTTCTTTCAAATCAATTTCTTGGTATAGAAGATTTGTGTTTTTAGTTATAATATCAGAAACTAAATTTCTTAAAAGCTGATTTTTAATTATTTTTACAATAGCCATATACTTATAAATAAAACTAAGTGTGTGTGTGTGTGTGTAATTCAATTATATTGATAATTTAATGTGATCACGTCATTGTAAGAAAAGGTCTGCTTGTATCGATCTACTTATTTTAATCTGCTGATTCTCATAAAGAGATATTTTCTTGTCGTATAATGCAATCTTTATGATCAAATAATTAGAAATTACTGCAACAAATGCACGTAATATGGTCATATAAATCTATAGACGAGACGAAACCTCTTAGCATTCAATGGATTCACCGTACGGGTGCCGGGTCCATCGCGTTGCAGGGAGAGGAGCTTCAACAGTGCCTGGGACTTGCGACCCAGGTTTAGGTGTAGGTTTAACATTCATAGAAAAACAATGAAAATATTTTTTTTCATTTCACGAATTTTTAATAAGAGTTACGAAAACTTACGGAAAACCAACACACATTTCACGACAATTATAAATAATAGATACTATAATGATATTCTTGTTTAAGGTTTTAATTTATTTCAAAAACACTCTTACTTTTGTTCATATAAAATTGATGATATATAAAAGTCAGGTAGAACCTGTGTAAATACAAAGCAAACAAACTTAAAGACTGTAAACCTTTCATAATTACAATTTAAATAAAAATTAATTACAGCACTTTATCCTCCTTTTATGTGAACTAATGAATTAAATCGCTTACCGCAGACCAAAATAAACTCTATATCATGATAATAGTGACGAAAATTTATTATCCAACCTACTCGCGATTTTGTGTGGGTCGAAATTTAAAGCCGTAAATTTTCATTCAAATTTATTATCTAACGACTATCAAAATACGAGATGAATTGCTATAACGCAAAATTTTTATGGCCATTAACATAGGTTTATAGGATACTATAATAATAATAACTAATGCCATTTTTGGTACGTATTTAAAAAAAATATTAAGAAATCGTAGGTAGCATTATAGATTTATACATTTAATTATAATATAGAAGAGAAACTGTTTAACAAGACTTAATATATCACTTGAGAGGCTATCCAAAATTATATGTAAGAAACACAAGCATGACAAAAAACAAAGAAATATACTTAAAAACACAGTAAACTATTACAAAATCATATAATAGCAAGCATAAATTTTTAACAATTGCGAAATAAATACGCGATACGAAATTTTTTTGCTTAATAAGTATTTAAATATAAATATTTTAAAATAATACAATTCTTTATACAGAAATATTTGTAACGGTGAATATATTTTAATATTATGATAATATAAAATAAACATTATTCATTGTACGCAATTATCTATTTCATGACATTACTTTTTATTGTTTGTCACGTTTTAAGTAATGTGAATAGTTTAAAAAAAGTTAATTGTATTTGAATACAATTCTTAAATATAAAAATAACACTAGCTGTGATCTGCGGTTTCACACGCATGAAAAGCAATCCGATGGCAAAAATATCATATTATAAGTACGTAGATATCTTATGCATTAATACGTATATATTTTAAAATCAAATTATTTTTAATTCAACATAAAAGTGTATATAATCATTATGCAATAATGTATTTAATAAATGTTTAAAAATAAATAAAAACAAGCCAATTTAATTAAAATTCAAAAAATCTAATTAAGGAACGGTTTGCTGGGTAAAATCAAATATTCAACGGGATGAAATCTAGCTACGTAATTTTTTAAACAAATAAAAGAAGACCACTTTTAAGTCACCTTAAAAATATTTACAATATAAAAATATAAGTATGTTTTAAGTCACGAAAATAATTTAACATAAAATATTATTCAATGTCCTCTCTAATAGAATTATAAATCTTTATCTGGCAGGATGGCTAGTTTTGGATTACACCGTAACTGAATACGACACAGCCTTAGGTTATAAACCTTGTACTGCATCCACTACAAATACGCTATCTACAAGATTACATTTAGTTTGAACGAGATAAAAAAACACAAATCCATACGTTATACATAATTCAAAGATCCGTTTATAATCGTTAAGGCACGTAACGTAAATAACGTGTAATAATTTTTAAGTATTACACGTAATTTACGTAGTTTATTATGTACTCGTTCATATATCGCGACAAAGTTTTATGAACGTAATGTTAAGTTGTTGCAATTACTTAATGTTTGATGAAAAATATTCAAGAAAAATACTTATACTTCTCATTACAAGATTGACTGAAACAAATATCTGAAGAAAAGTCACTCTACCAACAAGTCAATGCAATATTATTTATGAAAAAATATATATTATGTAGAAGACATTAAAAAACAAAAGAATTCTTATATAAGATAAAAATAAATGAAACGAAAATTTATATAGAATGTAAAAGAGTATATAGTACTACCTATTTTCCTTCATCTTGTATCTTTTTTAATAATTTGTACCACATATAGAATCTAATGTTGTAACAAATATATTACAATGTATTAAAAAAATTAATATATTAGTAGGTATATATATATTCCAATAACATTTGTAGGCCTATGACTTTCCAGCGCGTTTGTAAAAATAGAATTTGTTGTAAGATGGAATAAAACTAAGGCAAGCTGACGGAAAAAAAATAATAGCAACAGAAAATTTGTGTTAAATATAATTTTATAGCAGTCCTTAATAAAAAGATTGTAGCTACCAAAATACATGAAACAAGTTTTTGTCTATGAACTTTTATAAGAATATACCATAATAATTATTATAAAATCTAGAAAAATTCACAGAAGTATTATAGTGATTTTGTTTAGCCATCTTTAAATTAGAAAATAAATGTCATATATAAATAAACATATAAATACTATCAAAACTGTTCATTTCTATTTAATTAATAAAAAATATTTATTCCCAGTAAAATCAAACAAAATAATCAACAAAATGTCTTGTAAGCTATTTCATTCATATTAAAATCAAATAAAACAAATATTAAGTCTGAATTTACTATTAAAAATCATAAACCAATTCTGATATGGCCGCTTCAAATGAATACTTATAATAATTAAAAATCATTGTAGCAATAAAAACTGAAGTTATATTATAACTTCTTATACCAAAACATTTCTTTCATTAGTAATATATTTTATATATTTATGTATATATATTTAAACTAGATAATGCTCGTCATAACTACCATACTTTCTGATAGTAAGCTGGTTCTAACCTTAAGTAATAACTATAGGTCTGAATAAAAGCCTATGAATTTTATTATTGTTACTCATTTAATATCCACAGTGCATGTTATAAATTACATTAAATGTATTGTAAACTTCAGAAATAACTGCTCATTGTTTTGGTATAATATAATATACAAACATTTATATATGTATATGTATTAATAAATATTTATAATAATATATAATTAGTCAAAAATATGATAAATCTAATAATATTTATTATGCCACTTTATTTTCAACTGTATGTATGTATATGTACCATTATTGTGAATTAAATGTTATTAATTTATTTTCAAAATTAATTTATATATAAAAGCTATTTATTTTATTATATTAATTCAAATTGCATTTGATTTGGTTGTTGTTAAGTAAATAATATTTATTAAAACATTGCTTAAAACTCGAGTACCGGCGTACCGATTGTTTGTAAACAAATAACATATGATGGTACCGGCGAAAATTTTATTATTAAAAATTGTTGTAAATTTATTTAACCTGCATAATAATAAAAATATTATCTGACTTCATGTTGAAGCACGAGGAAAATCCTCAGTTGACGAGCTAGTGGACCTACAACTATATCCCATGTGATAATATCGCGCCAAAATTTGACAGATATTTATATATCCATAATTAAAAGTATAGAATATTCATTTATTCTGTATGGGCAGTGCAACGCTTGATCGTTTAATATATGAGCAATACATATCCAGCATATAATTCGCAAAAAAATATTTATTATATGCAATAAATATACCGCCTCTAGCGGTGAGAATACGAAACCGACACATAATGGCCGACACACAGTAGTTGTGATGACTTAATACCTAAATGCGCAAAATACTTACACTTTCCTCCTCTTTCTCCATACCAGAGGGCATTTGAGGTACAGCACGATTAATCGCCGAGTAGTCCGGTAAATCCGGGAGCTCCTCGGCGAGATATATGGGCATAGGTTTAGACGCATCCAGGGCCCTCGCCCTAAACGAGAGCTTCGACATTTTGTTGACAGAACAAAACACGCTAGCGTCGACACAAAAATGCACTTATAAAACACTTTATTGCTCCTCCAGGAGGTCCTAAAGGACCGTAAACCACACTTTGCACTCTCTAGTTCGTTCCCATGGTTAATTTTTGCACACACTCAGTCACAATTAATGAAAAACAATAACGAAACTTTACATATTGAGCGTACTTCACAGAAAGCCATCATGGCGGCTTTCCGTTTGGCGGACGACCATGACCAACTTCCACCTAGCGCGACGTGCGCGGGAAGGAAACACGCGGGACCAATTTCGCCATTTTTAATCCTTAATTTTATTTTTTATTTAAATGCACTGAAATATGACTATATTGTAACATAATTAAATATAATTTATTTATTTGAGATAGATTTGTAATACTTTATAGATTAATTCAAAATGAAGAAAATAAAAATAGGAAAATGACGTCGCACATAGGCTGTCAAGCCATAGACTATATTTTTTCTTAAACGTCTATAAACTTGTAGAGTTAGGTAAAGTTTAAGAATAACATTTAACGCTTTTTAAAGAATTATATTAAAAGGTATCGTGATTTTTAAATTCTTTTTGTTATTATAAAATTGATAGTATTTTTTATTTATCACAGACATAAAGAATTTGAAGAATGTCCTGAAATGTTCTCAAAAGGCAACTAATTACATTTTATTGATTAATTCATATAGTATAAAATTTAATTGCTTTTCTTTATTAAGTTTGAAATATTTAATTATTATAAAATGTTATTTTCATTTTTTTTTCATTAATATTGGATTAATTTATAAACATTATTTTTTAAATACCCATTTTCTTTAAATGAAAATGGCCACTGAACAGTTTGAATAATGTTTTAGTGTACGTTTCACTGACCACATAATTTTCATTTATAATTATTACGTGCTACTTTGCACAACAACGTATCAATACTATAACGTCAAAGTTATAAAATAATGACAAAATTAAATTATTTGAATCGTTTGATTAAAAAAAAGAGTTTTATTAATAACGAAACTTTATTTCAAGCCAAAATTCTATGTAGTTTTTATATTTATTACAAATAGGGAATATAGTAAAAAAAACTAAGATCAAAAGAATGTAATGTCCCATTTACATTACAAAGTCTAATGTTAGTAATTAATATATTCTTTAATCTTATGTTTTTTCAATGTTATAGGTGTTTTATAAACACAATTGATAGACATAATCGATTTTTTTTGTGATTCAAAAAAATCTTAAAGACTTCTAAACTCTATTGAGGCTCTAGATTAGGTTCAAAATTTAAATAAGAAGTTTGAGATCATTCAAAAAGAATCATCAGTTAGGGTTGCCAGCAAAAAAGAGAGATATTAAGGTATTTATTATTTTATATGATCAAATAAGAAATATTACTGATGAAAACAACCGTAGTAATTACTTTATTGAGATCTTAAGTAACTTGTAATACTAAGTATGTAAATAACATAAAGTGGGTGTGGAAAAAAGTAAATTTCATATATGTTTATAAATATGTTTAAGGGAGAAGTTAGTTTTTAAGAAACCTTCGTTTGAGTTGCTGTAGTCTCTTTAGACAGGTTGTAGTAAATATAAAAAAAACAACATTCAATTTAAACAATAATTTATTGAAATTTATTATCAATCTTAAACAGTGTTATTAGTGTAAAATTAAACTTAAATTCATAATTGAGTAGTTATATTCTATTAATTAATTATAATTCGTTTTGATGGTGATCACAATAATGAGCAAGGCAATGGTTTAGTTCATAAAAATCATTAAAAAACAATTTAAACAACTGATCAGCCTTTGTCATACATACATTGATTTTATAATGTACATATTATCTGCAATAGCAACACTATTGAAATACAATCATGAATTTAATATCATATAAAAATCAGTATCTTTTCCCAGTTATTAGCTACATCCGATTAAAAATTATGCACATATATAACCGCAATTTATATATAATATGTCATAAATAGTTAAAATTATTATTTTTATATATATTTCTAAACAATTATAAATTCATCGTTGATACCTGATTAACATAATTTATACTGTGTTTTGCTAAAATGCTTATATATTTAACATGGTTAACATTTTTTTTACAAATTACGTTATTTTAAATCGCAGGTGCATTTTAGGCAGTATGTCCAAAAAAAGTACATTTCTATTTTATAAAATTACTAAATAATACAGCATAATTTTTCACATTACAAGAATTTTTAAACAATACAAGCATGTATCTACATTTGTATGTTAACACTATTATAGAAGGCTAATAATTTGCTATCGTATAAAAAAATCATTAAATGGCCGTATCATTGGTTAAATATTTTCTATAAAATGACTAAGAAATGAATAAATTTCATCAAAATTAAGAAAGTTCTAACATATGACCGAATTCTATTAATTACTAACATAATTGTCATTTGTCTACAGAAAGCTTAGTTTATATATTTTTTCGTAACACAATGCAGACATACAAATGTGGATATTATACAGGTAGAGTGATCAGCTTTGAGTAAATGAGTTTTCTGATGATGACCCGACACAATCACCTTGTGGTATCTGTTTCGATTTTGAACTCTTGCCTACAAATATTTCTACCTCCTGGAATAAAGTATAATAGTTAATAATTAGTATTAAATACACTAAACATTTTCATACCACTAATATATCATACATAAATAATATTTTATAGGTATTTGTATGCAAGGAAAAGAAAAAAGATAGTTCTTTAAAGAATAGTTTATGAACGTAAGTCTTCTATATATAATATATAAGTCTTCTGGTAAATAGATATTCTACCTAATCAGAGTTTTAGTACCATTGTGTGTTTTCGATATACAGTGTAAACTCTATATAACGACACTGAAGGGACCGTGCATTTTAGTGCGTTATAGAGAGTTGCCGTTAAATAGAGAGAAGAAAAATCAGAATTAGAAAATGACAAAGTTTATTTCAGACTAGTGTTAGTACTTATGTACATAAAAAAGAATGTTATACTTTTGAGATTTTGTGAGCAACTTTTTATGTTAACATATAGGTAATACAAGACTCCTACTTATGGTCAAAAACCGTCGACACGTTTAAGCAATTTGTAATTGTAAACAAAAGAACGACTTTCTTAGAAAGTTCGGTATGCATGATAGGGACAGTCGAGTTTATTGCGGGCTAGGATAACAAAGCGACAAAGGAACGTACACAGCTGCACAGTTTTTACTAATTTTAGCAACTTAAAAGGTACTTTTATTACTTAATTGTTGTCGTTATTGAGAGTGGTTGTGCCGCTATATAGAGTGTATCATTGTATGGTAGACTGGCTAAACCAACCAAAGTCAAATGATTTCGACGCTTTAGAGAGTTTGTCGTTAAATCGAGTGTCGTTATATAGAGTTTACACTGTATTTTCTTATTGTGAACAAGTTGTTTATTAAGGAACTAGTTTTCGCCCGCGACTTGTGTGTTAGTTTCAGAATTAGAAATATATAGATAACCGGGCAAACTCTATTCCGCCTTAAAGACAGAAGATAATAATATTTTGGATTTGATCAACTTATTTTTTTTCTTTTTCAATTGGATGAAAAGTATCATACATTCTTGTTCTAAGCTATTTCTCCACCACTTTTCAGCCAAACCCGTACAGCCGTTCTTGAGTTATAAAATAATGTAACTAACACGGCTTTCTTTTATATCTTACTTATCCTACTAATATTATAATTGCGAAAGTTTGTGAGTGTGTGTATGTTTGTTACTTCTTCACGCTCAAACGGCTGAACCGATTTTGATAAAATTTTGTATACAGGAAGCTGACGTCCAGGAATAACACATAGGCTACTTTACATCCCGGAAATTCGCGGGTAACATCGCGGGGCGCAGCTATTATGAAAATATAGTCTGAAATTGGTATAGCTAATGCATCTAATTCGATATATAAGAATTTTCTGCTAATAAATGTCTATACTGAAATACTATATATAGTAGGGACCGAATTAAATTTGTCGTTCATGAGGTTATCTTATAAGTGTTATTGTTATATAGACACCTTATTCTCTTCTCCGTTCTGTCCGAGTGAGCTCTCTCCAGCACAAGGTCCTGCTCGCGCTGCTAGCTGTCGCTCACGAGCTGCACGCCTGAAAAATAAAAATATATATATATACTTGTAATTACATACTTCTCTTATTATTACTTTTTTATATTGTTTCTTTATTATTGTTGTACCTTAAATATCTTGTATACTTGTACCTAATTCGTAAAATGGAAGAGCGGAGTTTCCTAGCACAGGCTTTTCATATGCTTAAAAGAAGACTCCAATAACTTTATATTTAAGTACAAACTTGTTGAAGAAAATAAAGAAATTGTTATTATTTTTATTATTTTTTATTTGTATGGATAGACAAATAGACATACCAAATATAGAACTAAAATAGATAATAATCCTGAATTTTCATAGCACATAAGCACATTTTGCACAAAAGTTACCGACAAATTTACATGAATGAATTCATTATAAATTCTTTTTAATAATATTATTTAGGCGTACATATATAAAAATATATATACTTGTATGGATAGACAAACACGCATACTAAACAAAGAACTAATATTAAACAAAGTAATAGTGAATTTTCATATAAATTTAATTATTTTTGTATAAAATTAATAACAAGAAATTTACATGAGTGCATTCATAATGAATTCTTTTCACTTATATAATGTATGGGTATATATAAAATTGTATGTATGTCGGTCAAGCAGTAACTATTAAATGGATTTCACAATGTAAAGATCTACATCAAATAAGACCAAATCTAAGTGAATGTTTTATAATGAAGGTAGTTTTTAATCTTTATATATATAATTTTTCTGTGAGTGTGTATGTCACTGAACTTCTCTCAAACGACTGGACCAATTTATTATTGTATGTGTTCAAGGGGATCTGGGAATGGCTTAGATTCACAATGTCGTCCGCTGGACAATGTTTTTTTAATCAATTTTTAATTTATTAGTAGTTGTTGATACAAACGTTTTTTTTGACATTAGATTTGACAACTAACTAATATGTCAATCATTCTGTCGCACTTCAAAACAAGGAGATTTATGGCTTTAATAGGTAAACTCTAAAAATATAAATAAAATAACGTAACAGATATTTCTTGATTATAGGGCGATACGAAGTTCGCCGGGTCTTCTAATATATATTACCTGCGATGTTCCAACATAGCTTTCCTTTCAGATTCCCTCTTCTCAGCGGCAAGTCTTGCCTTCTCATTCTTGACTACGGGAGTACGGGTTCGAGTCCTGGCCGGTGAAGACACTGGCTTGCTTACTGGGGACGACACCTGGAATTTATAATAAATATAATATAGTATGTGAGTAGAGATTGGGAGATTAAGACATTTTTTTCAGAGACATATTAGATATATTATATAATGTGATTTATTTAGATATTTTAATGAAATAAAGTATGTTTTAATTATGAATGTCTAATTAGCGCCCATGAGAATATATACATTTCAAAGATTCTTTCAAAATTATAAGCAACTAGCTTTTGCCGCGACTTCGACTGCGTGGAATAGTGACTAACGGCAGATTTTTGGTTCTTCCCACATAGTTCCCGTTCTTATTGGGTTTTCGGAATAGTCGAGTTCCTATAGAATTTTCAGGATAAAACCTATGTTTTTTTTTAATCATAATGAAGTACTCTTAACCAACAACATATTTATTTGTTTATTTGAAAAAAGATTAATATTATTATGTTGATACAACTTAAACAAATTATTACGACCAAATTAGGTACCATAAAAACGGTTTTTGTGAGTTAATCTTAAAAGATAGACATATATTGGACTGTTTTTTAGATCATTAAAAGAGCTATTATTCTTTAATACATATTTTTTGTGTATCTTGAACCGTTTTCACGGCGCACGCAACGAAAGGCTTCAAAGATGAAATAATTTGTCCCGTTTTTTACACATTTACCACTATATCTTTGCTCCTTGTGGTCGTAGCGCGATGTTATATAGCCTACAGCCTTCCTCCATAACTGGACTATCCAACACAAAAAGAATTATTCAATTCGAACCAGTAGTTTCGGAGATTAGCGCTTCCAAACAAACAAACAAACAAACTCTTCAGCTTTATAATATTAGTATAGATTAATTTCTGGACCATCATATTACATCTTACTAATATTATAATTGCGAAAGTTTGTGACTGTATGTGTATGTTTGTTACTTGTTCACGCTCAAACGGCTGAACCGATTTTGATAAAATTTTGTATAAAGGAAGCTGACGTCCAGGAATAACACATAGGCTACTTTACATCCCGGAAAGCCGCGGGTAACACCGCGGGGCGCAGCTAGTATTTAATCCCTACTAATATTATAAATGCGAAAGTAACTCTGTCTGTCTGTCTGTCTGTCTGTCTGTCTGCTACGCTTTCACGCCTAAACCACTGAACTGATTTTAATGAAATTCGGTACAGAGATAGAGTTGACCTTGAGAAAGAACATAGGATAGTTTTTATCCCAGACTTTTGAAAGGTTCTCTTGGAAACGCGATATAACCGAACTCCACGCGGCGAAGCTGCGGGCGGAAAGCTAGTATACTTTATATATACATATACAGGGTGACTGGTGAATTACTATCAATATTTAAGGAGCATACTCGGTACATGATTCTCATTCGAATTATGTAAAAAAAATAGGTACTTAATTTTTGACCAAATTTCCGTATAAATAAATAAAGTGTGTACACGTTCCAAGTGTTCCTAGTGTGGACGCGTGCGGCGGCGTGCTGATACAACACTACGCCGTCGCCGCGTCTGTGTGAGTGTGTGTGTATACCTAATCTGTAGGGTGTTCATACGATGCGTAATTAATTACATAACTTTTGGTTAACTTTACTTAGAAGTTTATTAATATTTATGTTATATTAATTTTTATTTTGTCATATATGATCGTCAAATATCACGTCCTCAAATATCGATAGTAATTCACCAGTCACCCTGTATATACAGGGTGACTGGTGAATTACTATCAATATTTAAGAATACTCGGTACATGATTCTCATTCGAATTATGTAAAAAAAATAGGTACTTAATTTTTGACCAAATTTCCGTATAAATAAATAAAGTGTGTACACGTTCCAAGTGTTCCAAGAGTGGACGCGTGCGGCGGCGTGCTGATACAACACCACGCCGCCGCATGCGTGTGTGTGTGTGTATACCTAATCTGTAGGGTGTTCACACTATTCACACTATATGTTCAATATTTATGTTATATTAATTTTTATTTTGTCATATATGTTCGTCAAATATCACGTCCTCAAGTATCGATAGTAATTCACCAGTCACCCTGTATATATATATATATATATATATATTTAGAAATCTAATTGCTTGTTTAATCAATACCAATTATGTACAATTTTAACAGTTTTATAGTTGTATGTTTATCTATGTATTCATACCTCCTGCCAGTTATTAGCTCTCAGTACATCAATATGTTGATACAAAGCTTCCACATTTCTGACTTGAAGGCAGACCATGTCCCAGAAACCCTGCAGATCTTCTAGTGTAGTTGGGAACGGCTCGTCACCACTTTCATTGATGTGGTTGTAGCAGAGACCTGGAATATTGATAGGTCAAATTATATTGGTTATTTAAGATTAAATTTATTATATTAGTATTAGTCAGATTTGTACTAAGCGTTGTTTAGTATATGAATCATACTAAGGAAATTCTTAGGAAGGGCTTGCGCCTCCTACCGATTGTAGTAACAAATACTAATTTTAGCACAAGATAAAGGAATATCTGATGTTATGATCTGAAAGAAGAAAACTTAGTGGAAAACGCAATTTTTTCCTGCCAGCATTAATGCTGTTTTAGTGAGGATGTTTACAGCATTTCTATTTCGACTCAATGTGGTCTAGAAGTCTTGTTAGAGGAATGAAAGTAGCAATTCTTATTATCTCTTTAAATATCTATTTACCACCCAATGACAAGATGATTCTCTCCCAGATAAAAAAACTTCAGGGGTGTAACTATCTACAGGACTATGGTAAAGGATATACAAAACAAATGCAAAAAGAGCAGATAATTTCTAGCATTATCAGGTAGGCATGTCTTTGATATGGTAGGAATACTATCCACACAATCTAATTAAGAAACCATGCCTAATAGTATGCAAATATATACATATATGTAAATTTCTCCAGCTATTTTTAATCATGACAAAAAAATATCATGACCTATTAATATATGTTCCACTTTTATTAGGTAGCCATTGCTGGGTGAGTAAGAAAAATATGTTTTTCAAGTAAATAACATGAATGTTGTTTACAACCTTCAAACTGCTGCATCTTCTGTGTAGCCAAGAGCCTCGCTTTACCAGAGGCAGCTCGGAGGAAGCCCAGGACTTCTTCACTTATGTTTTCAACATTCTGAAAAGTAAAAATATAGTATATTGATATTGTATTTTAGTTATAAATAATATTTATATATATTATATATATGGGAACAACTTCAATCTATTTGTCTGATCTATTAATTATTAGAACTTTTTATATCCTATTCAATAAAAGTTTATTTTTAATTAAACTCGAACTATAAATAGTAGTTATTTCAAAATAAAATCATTATGATACTTAGTAACAATAACATATAAAGATAGTTATACAATATTGAAATATTTTACATCTATCTTTATCAGTGAATGAGTTAATTAAAAGTTAGTGATAGGTACAAGAAGTCTCACTTAAATCCACTTTAATTGACTATTAAAGCATCAATAGAATCGATGGAATAAAATTATGATCTCTATTTGTATGTATCTCGACTATAGACTAGCACATCACTGACTTTATTTAATTTAAATTCAATCACCATTTATGTGAATTATATACAACAGATATTAAAAAGGCTTAAATTATATTGTTTTTCATATAAATATATATTAAGAACATTTATATATAAACCTGTAAATGCTCCAGCTCCTTTTCAGCCCCCACAGCCAGAGCGATCAACCTTTCAGTTTCCTTCTTCTCCAAATCCAAGAAGTAATGTCCATCTTTAACCACATCACCATTAACTTTTTCACTTGTACATTTATCATTCACTTGTTTGTTCAAATCTATCACAGATAGGCCATTTGTCACTTCACTGGTTTCAATCAATTCAGTCTTTTTCGGTTCGGGAATGTCTTGTTCGAGCTTCTGAGGCGAGAGGTCGGATTTCGGGCTCTTTCGAGGCGAGAGCACTGGTAGTTGGGCTCGAAATTCGGGCCTAAGATGCCTTAATACAGGCAACACTGTATCGTTAGTGGGACTGGTGCATATGTTCTCACTGTCGAAGCTTTCGTTAGATTTGCGTGGTGATACGAATCTCTCGCTCGGGCAGTTTAGTGATTTTTCTGTCAACACTTTCAAGTCTTCGTCCTCGCTAGTACTCTTTAGTTTGTGCCTTTTCTGATTGAAGAATCCCTGAGCCAGCGCTCCCGGTCCGTATAGACGTTCGACGCGCTGTTGTATGAAGCTCTTCATAGGACTTGTCAATTTTTCACCATTTTCTTTGGTGATCTCAACTCTTTTGGAGACACCGTTTGATGATATCGTATACGACTCCGCGGAGAACCTGCTCTCTTTGCCATTGCTGACCGTCTGTCTGAAGTTCGTCTCCGAGTAACTGGACTTAAAGGTCATCTCCTTAACATGATCCACCTCATCCTTCTGGTGTAACATCGACGCAGCGAAGTTCTTGCCCTCATTCGATATAAACTGACGACTGGTTGTCGTCATGCTTGGTCCTAGGAAGTCGTTCTTCAGTTGTTTATTTTCAGCTGCCATATAGGCATGTGAGGGTGATGCTATATGCGGGTCTGTGTGCGCCTTAGTAGGCGCTTTGGGCGTCAAATCTGTGCGAGTATCATTAGGACCGAACTTGGGTACCAACAGTTTGTTAGCGCTCACCGGTATCGGCACTAATAGCGAGCTGCTCTCACTTTTGTACTGGTACGTATGTGTTATCGGCCTTATTGGGGAAGCTTCTCGACTTTTATTAATATCTTGTCGTAATTTGGAATCGTATGTCGTTAGATTCGTGTAGCCGTTCACTGAGCACGCTAGGTTTAAATAGCTTGGCTTCTTCTGTGGTAGTTCGTCTCGTTTCTTCAAGTGGCTCCTGGATCTATGGCTAGAAGTGTCTATGTATATTTTCGGGGGAGGTTTGAGGAGGTGATCAGTCTTTCTAGGTGTTGGAGTTGTGTCTGGTGTTCTTGCTGGTGATATTGGAGCCTGTGGTGATATCGTATGCAGGTTGGAGGCTCGTTCCTGTATCCTGGAAGTGAAATCCCGTATCCTACTGGTTGTGGAGCTAGGCGTTAGGAGATTCAAACTTCCGGACGTAGTATCTAAAACAAAAAATATTATCGTTTATAACGGAATAAACAGTTACGTGTTGTTTTAAACAAATGTTTATTGAAATCAAAATATTTTTGAATGTCAGGCTTGATTTTTCAGTTGATATATTAATAATAAAATGTAACAATAAATACATATATAGTTACGATTGTATAAATAAACTCTAAAGTCTACCAACTGGTTTTATTTACTTACATGCAAGTATATTAATAAAACAAAAATTTATTATATATTTAAGGATTCTACTTAAAAAAAGTCTTTAAAACTATTAAATTCCTCATTATATCCAGATTTAAAGATTAGGAATAAATTGTTTAAATACATGTATATTACCGAAAACAAAAAATAAATTTTGAAGACATTAAGAAAATAAAAATAAAGTAAATAATTTCTTAAAAATATATATTAAATGGCGTTTAGATCTACACATCAACAAACAACGAATAAAGAATAACAGGCAAACATTTAAATAACATCACAGTTAAAATACAGTAGAACATTAAGTTAGAAAAGAGTATGAATAATAATAATTAATTTATTATCTGTTAATATCAATAATGTTTATATGTAACATATTAAAAATGGTTGAACAAGTGAAAAAACATATTCTCAAAAGTATAAATCTATCAATAATCAATAAAATTAACTTTCTTTTAACAATTTTCTTATTATATATTATGTTATAAAAGAGTAGTTTTGAAATATTAAAAAGAAAACGCAAATACAGAGAATCTCAATATCAAAATGTATGATAAAAAGTTATTTCACTACTAAAGAATCTTTGCTAGGGGGCCATCCATAAAATACGTCACACTAATTTCATGAGTTTTTGAGCCCTCCCCCGTCCTTGTCACAGGTGGTCACATTTCTGAGACCCCCCCCTCCCTAGTGTGACGTCACATGTTTTGCAATTTAACATCGAAAAATTATTAAATTAAAACAGCAGTTCCGAAATTAGTTTTATTTCCATTTAAAATAAGTACTTTTTTAAGAAATCAACATAGTATCAAATATTTGAAATAATAAATAAACTAATGAATATATACAGGGTGACTGGTGAATTACTATCGATACTTGAGGACGTGATATTTGACGATTATATATGACAAAATAAAAATTAATATAACATAAATATTAATAAACTTCTAAGTAAAGTTAACCAAAAGTTATGTAATTCATTACGCATCGTGTGAACAGTCTACAGATTAGGTATACACACACACACACGCGCGTTTGGCGGCGTGGTGTTGTATCAGCACGCCGCTAGCACGCGTCCACACTTGGAACACTTGGAACGTGTCCTCACTTTATTTATTTATACGGAAATTTAGTCAAAAAATAAAGTACCTTTTTTTTAAATAATTCGAATGAGAATCATGTACCGAGTATTCTCCTTAAATATTGATAGTAATTCATGTGATGACGCGCTCAGTTTTAAAGATTTTAATTAATATTTCAAATTACGCGATTAGTAGCTCTAGATTTTGAAATGTGATGTCACGAAACTTAGGACCCCTCCCACCCCTTGTCACACCATGTCACACTTTGTCGACCCCCTCCCACCCCCTTTACGTGTGACGTACTTTATGGATGGCCCCTAGTATAAAATGATGTTTTCAAGTATTTCATACACATGCATATAAATATAAATATATATATGCTATGCTTCATAATTATAATCTCCCCTCTTATTCTCTCATGTGGGATTATATTACATCAAAACAAATGCTCAAGAAAGATTACCCTTGGTATGAAGTAGTCATTCTTTCAAGGTCAAGGTCACATATCCTTTATGGTAACCAGTTCAACTCGGCCAGCCTTAACATATATATACCATACATGTAATATATGTTAATAACAACATGGAAATATGTTAGCATATAGTTTGTATTAATTACTATGTTCTTTACCGACCGGTATACTAGACATATAAGTAATATATATACTGGTTTAAATATATAATATAGCATTATTTTTGAGGTGAGTTTTAGTAAATTATACCAGTAATATCAACATATGTAAGTGGACATACAAACAAGATAGTTTTAGTAGCCGACTTATAAAAGTTATGAATATAATAGAAGATGTTTTATTTCATTGCACTATAGACTGTGATCAAAATATATTTTCATATGAGTACCTACTAATAAGCATTGTAATACTGACATGCTATTGAAAGTATGTGCATGAATTAAATAACTGTTTAACAAAATGACATCATGAGTATACAAAATATATAACTTACTTACTTATTTATTTTTATTCATTATGTATTTAGACAAGATCATATTTCAATAATGAGAAAAATCTATTTAAATTCCATTTCTCTGTCATAACGACTGATAGTGAATTGACATGGCAATTTTTATGAATATATATACAAATGTTCATGATTCTTGCAAGACTTTGAAACTACATATGTTGAGAAATATTACAGGCGATATTTCTTAAATAGTATCATGTTACAACAAACTCGGTGGAATTGTCAAGTTGCTTTTCAAGTATTACACAATTTTAAGTCTCAAAGCATTGGCAATGTTCGATTGATTTATACATGCAATGAAAGACTATTTAAATTATGTGACTTCACTTTCTAAGTTTCATATATTTTTCTACAAGAAAATGTCTGATATTCTTGCATATAAAATAAATAAATATAAAGTGGGATATGATTTATTAGTTAATATAAAGGCATTCCATTTATGTAATACCATAAGTGCTGAAATAACCAACAAAAATAAATTAAAGTCATTTAGATATAAGAACTAGGATATTTAAAATTTACTAATTTTTAAAAGCAAATCTAGTTATTCTTATAGGTTTTACTCACTGTGATTTGGAAGATGTATATATGTTTAATATGGATGTCGTTCATGTTAGTACGTACATTACAACATATATGTTTTATCGATATTTTCTGGCAACAGTTAACAGTGAGATATTATTGTTTCCGTGACCAATAAAATAAAACAATAAGGTTCCATTACACACACATGTAGAAAACGTTACTCATCTTATCTCGATTACTATATTGAGAAAATGCGAGTGTCATGAAAGTAAAAGGATCAAAATTAAGGATAATCGTAGGTAGACTAATAATTATAAGAATTTTAACATTCCAACTCACCCGGTTATTAAAAAAAGAAGAAAATTAGACGATAATCACAAACTAGTAGAAATTGAAACTTTTTTTAATTATACAATCACTATACACGGAAAAAATAAAATTTCGAAAAACCGAAGCTCAACCGTGAAATCACTAGATGACTAAAATGTCATAATAATTTTTTATAACAAACGTCACTCGCGCAGGACAAGTTAGAGTACGTTCCGTTTCACGTATTGAAATTATTCATTCATTTTTATTTAAACTACTACATATAGATATAATATATTATTGTGCTCATACGCGCGTATAAGTCGGCGTGTCCAGCGACAATGACCGGTCTAGTAGAGATGTGCGTAGGCAGCCCGAGGTCAGAAACTTATTGTGTTAACTCAATAGGTAGACGATCTTTGTTTGCAATATTACGAATTTGCATTGTATGCGTTTTATTTGTGTGACCTACATGAAATATTATATCATATTAGACATATATATGGTATATTTTATGACGCTGTTCAAAACCTTGGCGCTATTCACGAAAGTGCTTCATTATTCCGTTGTCGAAGTAAACATTTGTCATAATTTATTTTAGAATATTCATTTTATTTTAGGTTGAAATCGTATGAAACATCAGATTAAAAATAACTGTTGACGATGAAATTTCACATTTTTTTTCCTTCTATTCTAGGTAATGTTTGATTTATTAATTAAGCTTACCTAGAATAAATTAACTGTCTTGAAATTATTTGTGTTTTGATTTGCCAATAAAGGTATATTAAGACGCTGCTATTTTGATCATTGATATTTGTAATTTAAATAAGTGAAGACGTTTTTAATATTAGATTTTTCTGTCAAACAAATGAATATATTTTTTATAGTTAAATAAACAATAATTATCGATTTCAGGATAATTTTTTTAAATTAGTTTTTTACTATTCTTAATATTTAGGAAACGTTATAAAATCTTTTGATAGTGTAGAAATTTTCATTAAGAAAGTAATTGGGAATAATAACAATAGTCGGCAAAGCTATTCTATAGGATTTAGGAACTTAACTAAAACGGAACGTTATTCAGACACAAAATTTAAAAAAAGAAAAGCAAAATAAAACGTAGAATACATATTTTATCTTATTATGTTTTATTCAAAAATATATATACTTAAATTAAATAATTACATAATAATATATATAAACAACAGTTTTTTAAAGTGCTTATTTAAGACATATGAAATAAAATGTTGAAATGAATGAAGTCTAGATAGAAAAAAAAACGACAAAAAGCTTCACAATCACGACAAGGAGAAAGTAGATGCAATAAAAGAAAAAAAATACAAATACTTTTTTATTCTCGACATGACTGGCACATACAAAAAAAAAGAAAATTATAAAAAAAAAAAGTTTTATATAAAATTTGCAATCCAACATGCTACATTAATGCATCATTACCTGAGAAGTCCGTACTAGCATCGACATCTAAGGAACAACTTCCAATCGAATCGACAGATTTGTCCATAACTTTGACGACCAAGTTCTTAGCGCACTTCAGATCACACTCTTTGACTTCTATCTCGTAAGCTCCTATGCTGTCTATGTCATTTTCTATTTTATTTGATACGGGAGAAACCGTTGAACTTGGTAGCTTTATATCGGTTTCTTCTGTGTTTATTGTTAGTATTGAGTCTGGTTTAAGTGTATCTGTGTTTTTGTCTAGTATTAAAGTACTCTGGCTGGTGAAGGTGCTTCGTATTGGTTCTATGTATTCTACTTCTTCGTCATATAAATTGTTGATACCGCTCGGTCCCTCTGTCGCATCCGCTGGCACTGCGTCTATAACAGTCCGTTTGTCGAGGCTCTTGTAAAAATGGTTTTCTAATTTCTCCAATTGCCGCTTCGTGTCCGATTGCTTTTTTCGCACAGAATCTATGATTACAGGCAGGTTGAGAAGATCTGGGGTCCTTTCTCTTGGTCTTTCACGTCTGAATAATGGAGAGTCATCACTTTCTAGTTCAAAACGCTTGTATTTAGAGGAACAATAGTCATCTATGGAAGACGTGTCTGATCTTTTTGAATCGAAGAATGTGTCTAGAGAAAAGAACGATTTGCGTTTCTTTTTAGGTTGGCTGGTTTTGACAAAATTTGGGGGAATGAATGGATCTTTCGACGAGTATTGCACGCAGATATTATCCGTATTAACCAAGGATTTAGGTCTAGGTTCCTGTGGCAGGCTCAGCACTCGATTTGTTTCAATCTTCCTCGAATCCAAGCTGAGTGTTTTTCGGAATCTCTCATTTAAATTTGATAGTAGAATGTGTCTTCGTTCAGTAGACTTTGGTGTCACGTTGTAAGAGTTTTGTTTGCTACTGGAAGGTTGTACATCTGGAATGTGTTCCGTATATTTGAATTCTATATCGTTTTCTGTGTTGTCCCTATTCTCAGCTCTACCATAAGGCTCTGATGGGCATAGAGATGGCTGTCTGTTTTCTGGCCTATGAAATGAGAATGAGCCTCTGTTGGAAGAAGATTTCTTTCTGTCACAGATGCAGTTACCGACACAGCCTAGTTTAATACAAGGCCCTTTAGTTTCCGGTTCTATTGAGAGCTCAGGTTTTGGAATGTAAGTATCTGGTTTGTTCTTGTGGACCAGAAGATCTTGTCTAATCTTTTCCAATCTCTCGTCCCCATTTAGACCTCTCGTATATTTTGATTTTGGCGGACGAAAGAATCTTATTGATCCTGATGAATGAGGGTCTGTGAGTCTTCTCCTCACGAAAAACGGTGAATCCGATAATTTGTTCACTCCTAACAAAAGTACGGGCGATTTCTTATCTTCCTCATCAGGTAAATCGCTGTAATAACAAAAATAAATCGTTTAATAATGCCACATATTCATATAAGTTCATTAATTGAGTAAATTTTCAACTGAACCATTAGTTTTTAATGTTAGACGACAAACTGGAGCACGTTATTAAATAAGCCGAACCAAATATTAATACAAAAAATATGTTAACAAAAAAAAACATTCAAAATTATATAAAAAAAAACAATACTTACACGAACAAACTAAAAACAATGCACATTTATTAATATACAAATATCGTTACAATACATACGACACGGCAAACCGTGACGTATTTAGAAATCGTGACGTGTGACGTCATGCGTCATTTCTCAACACGCGGAAGTCTCTCGGGTAGTTAACTCACAATGAGTGTGGTCTACTAATGAATGCATTGACTTTTTCAGAGCACTCATAAGTATTGTACGGTCTCAATCAGAGACTCATAGACTTGTGTGTATGTGTGTGTGTGTGTGTCCGGTTTTTGTGACATTGTTCCTAGATACAAAAATAGGTATCTTGATTTATATTTTTTCATATAAAAATAACCTAAATATTCTTTGAATATAAATTAAATAAATATTTTATATTGCAAAATATTTTCTTATCTATCCGTTAATACAAGAACCGGTCGCAGTCATACATACTTCATTTGAATATAAACTGGTGCTAAACTTGTTTAAATATAGATTATGAGAAAATATATAGGAATTCCTTATATGTTATATTTTACATTTGTTAATCCCTACTAATATTATAAATGCGAAAGTAGCTCTGTCTGTCTGTCTGTTACGCTATCACGCCTAAAACACTGAACTGATTTTAATGAAATTTGGTACAGAGATAGAGTTGACCTTGAGAAAAAACATAGGATAGTTTTTGTCCCAGACTTTTAAAAGGTTCTCTTGGAAAGGCGATATAACCGAACTCCACGCGGGCGAAGCTGCGGGCGGAAAGCTAGTAATAAATAATTATTTTATATACAGTGTATGAAAATCATATTTTTTTTATTATAATCTGAATACAAATTATCAACTATTTGCTGCCGATACGAAATTTTAATGAATACCAACAGTGCACTTTGATTGCACATTAATGAGTTAATTTTATTACTCGAATATGATCTCTATTTAAACGTCATAAAGGTCATAATAGCTTGTATGTTACAGCTTAGTAGCATACAATTAAATGGAGCATAGCGTTGTTGAATAACTTATCGATAAGTTTTTATGCAAGTCGATGAAAAATTGTGTCCGTAGTCGATAAAGTACTATCATCATTTAATCAGTGTAACAAAATCTTTTTGAGCCAAATAAAATACATAGTATAACTTACAAAGTACTTATATTAAAAATATGAAAATTTGTGAGAATTTATTTTGATAGTAGTCGAAAATGCTGAACGGATTTTGATTAAACTTAACAGTAGTATAGCTAAGATAAAAGATAAGGTAGGATTTGTATTATTCCTTAATTCCGCGTATTTATTATTACTTACTAGAATTTATACAGGGTGACTGGTGAATTACTATCGATATTTGAGGACGTGATATTTGACGATCATATATGACGAAATAAAAATTAATATAACATAAATATTAATAAACTTCTAAGTAAAGTTAACCAAAAGTTATGTAATTAATTACACATCGTATGAACACCCTACAGATTACTCTACACTACACACTCACACATACGCGCGCGGCGGCGTAGTGTTGTATCAGCACGCCGCCACACGCATCCACACTAGGAACACTTGGAACGTGTCAACACTTTATTTATTTATACGGAAATTTGGTCAAAAATTAAGTACCTATTTTTTTTACATAATTCGAATGAGAATCATGTACCGAGTATGCTCCTTAAATATTGATAGTAATTCACCAGTCACCCTGTATAAAGTCATTCTACCTATATGTCGCTGACAACATATAAGTTTTTTAGCACACTAGATATTTCTCTACAAGCCCAAATTCCTAAATTTCGTTTACGAAGCAGTGAAAATTAATTTATACATACTATGAAAGATCTTTAAAGAGTTATGTGGCCATAACTAACAATCAAATTTCTCATAATTCCGATTGACTCATTATTTTCTATCGACAGTGAAAATATGTCGATGCTATGCTGAAAAACGCAGAATTACTGCATCAGCAGTTTCATCATCAATAATTTATCGATAAAAATATTATCATTATTATACAACACTATTATTATAATGTAACTGTATATGCTTCTGGTGTTCTATATTGCGTTGTTTAGTATGTCTTTTCAACAAAATAAATATATCGATACTTTCGTATTCCTAACAAGGTATCTTGATTGCTCTCCAATTTTTCCCTGGACCAGACAGATTGGTTCAATCGGAAGCGTATGAAATTGCCGAAAATACATCAATTATAAAATGTAGCATTCGCAATTTTAGCTAAACGAGAAAAACTATGAAAGACTTTTTAATACATAGCCATATTTGGACTAACATATTTCCCTGGCTTATCCCTACTAATATTATAAATGCGAAAGTAACTCTGTCTGTTACGCTTTCACGTCTAAACTACTCAACTGATTTTAATGAAATTTGGTACAGAGATAGAGTTGACCTTGAGAAAGAACATAGGATAGTTTTTATTCTAGACTTTTGAAAGGTTCTCTTGGGAACGCCATATAACGCGGGCGAAGCTGCGGGCGGAAAGCTAGTATTATATATACATAGAAATATATGTAGCTTCTAACTGTTACACTAATTAACTTAAACGAAAAACAGTAACAGAACCGCTTACAAAGTAATATAACATAATTAAAATGTCCAGTTTATGAGAATATCAGTGACAAAACGTACATAAAATATTGTCAAACACGGAACCCTGTCTAGCGAAGTCGGTTAAATACTGTGTTATACGGTTAATGCCAATAACGTGATGAAAAATAATAAAATATTTTACAAGTTATAATATGTTTTCATTTTGTTTCATAATCCGTACAGAGTAATTAACTTTATTACAGATATATCTATATATATAAAAATGAATTGCTGTTCGTTAGTCTCACTAAAACTCGAGAACAGTTGAACGGATTTATCTTATCTTAGTCTTGAAATGTTCGTGGAGGTTTAGGGAAGGTTAAAAGCTGAAAAAATTGAATCATTTTCGACAAAACCCTAGAAATAGCCATTTCTATTTCCCATACAAACGTTTTTTTAACATTAGATTTGACAACTAACTAATATGTCTATCATTCTGTCGTACTTCAGAACACGGAGATATATGGCTTACAGGTAAACTCCAAAAATATAAATAAAAAAATATTTATTTATCTATTAAGGCAGTACGAAGTCTGCCGGGTCAGCTAGTTAATAATAAATCTCGACTAAATATTATGATCTCGCGAGTATTCATTTATATAAAACTAATATTTTCAGATAACCACGAGTTTTTTCGTTAGTTTGACTACATACTCCCGACGTTTCGGATACTTTAGCAATAGGTACGAGAGATTCTCATCTTGTCAGATCGCAATCAGGGTAAAATACGAAAAATATTAATTTATTGAAGCTTATTTATGTTTAAGATATAATAAAAAAACGATTTTACCTAAACATTGTAAAGTTTAATCGGATTTGAATATAATAGGTTCTGAATTCAGATCTATATAGATACATCATTCTCAATGGAAATATATGTGTATATTTTGTCAATATTGTTCGATAACTGCTGAACATATTTGGATTAATTTTAAGGAAGGAAATAACGATAATAAGAAGAGAATTGAAGATTTATAGACCATGGGATTTCGTACAAAGAAACTTGAAAAATCATATAATTTAGATATAAACAAATTATCAGCAACAAAATAACAAACACTATTGGTACTTCGTATTTACGCTTCACCCAAAATTTGAAATAATTCCTCTATTCAAATATACATTATATTTTCTTTTTCTTCTACCTGGCAATTTCCCAGCTATAGGCAGGGTCTGCCTTACATGTTGTGTATAGTTTTGGCTATTTGTTTTTACGACCGGCCGCCTGCCTGACATCAACCCTCTTTTGGGAAACAACATTAACTAGTGATGTCTAAATAGTCTTAGAAAGTACTTATGAAAAATCACATTGGTACTTGCTCGGGCCAGGGTCGAACCCGCACCCTCGGCAACGAGAGGCGGGCCCTTTAACCATTGGGCCACCACTGACTAAAATACATTATATACATTATATATATGTATATTATATATATTTCTATGTACTCTAAAGTCTCTATTTTGATACCATTACAATACAACCAGAAGCCAGGTACATATAGCATCGAGTCGTAGAGTCAAAACAATTTATAATTTCCGATTGCATGACATCTATGGACGAGAACTGGTTTCTGTGTGGGTGGTATAAAAATGGCGATAGTACACTAAATATTGCTAAAAGATCCTTGGTTTAATACCATTTTAGTTTAGGCTAATGACTTATTACAAAATTTGATCATGAGAACTGTATGCTTGGCAATGACAATAATGATTAAACGACTTTATATTCTTGCTAGACGAGGCCTTTGCTCTGGTCTGCAGTGGGTTCTGTTAGGCTGATTATACATATTTTTAACTGGAAAGTAGGCTTTTTTACATTATCTTTTAACTATAAGCCTTAGTCAGTGTACCGAAATTCATATATCCAGTAGGTGTATTTACTATTATGTGCGAATAGTTATTATTGATAGACTCGAAACTGTACGTAACTAATAAGTCACACGGTCCAAACTCGTAGTAAGGTCTGCGTGTATACAATTTGCTAATTAACAGACTTGATATACTTAGTATAATTATTGATGTTCCATAGGGATAGTAAATGGTATTCACTCACTTTTAATGTATATGTGTATATATATATGACATCTTCTATACTCTTACTGTTAACTCAGATAACTTTAGAGAGCTTCGACATAAAAAAACCTGGACATAAAAAAATCACTATAGGTATTACAATGTACATTGTACAACCATATTTCATGAGATTTTTACTAA